CCTTTACTGTTAAGCTTATTAATCAAGGCATGGAGGCAAAAAAGTGATGAAATTTGAAAGTTGAGGGTGGGTCTTCGTGGCAAATGAAAGTTTAGGGGAAGGGTTAAATGTCACTACCCCCAAATTAAAGTAGGGGGTAGGGGGTGGTCACCTGTAATTTACTAATTGTCTTCGTTTTAAATTAAAATTTAATTACCACTTTGTTTGAGGTAAATGCTAGTTATATGTTTAAAGTAGAAACCCTCCTATCTGATGTCTTTACTTGTAATTTTTTTTTTTTTTTTTACTTTTTTTATCACTTATTTATATTCTTTTACTTTAAACATTTATTTATATTTATTAAATACAGCCTTAGTCAAGTCTTGAATGGAGAAGAACCTGTTAGTCAAGTCTTCGTGATCCCATCAAAGCACAGTTGAATTGATGATTACGTTGCCAATAACCATGTCGCCTATAGGTAGGTAGGTGGTCGATAGGCATCTTCACCCACACAAAGAAAGCTCTCGGTGTTGTATAAGCCAAAATCCCTGTCACCCTAAGTCCCTAACCCGAGAGACGGGCAACAACACTCAACACCATCCCCATCCATACAAGGAACATTGAAAGTAGGTTTCATTCAATCAATTGCCCTTGTGCATAAAACCCAATTTAAGACATGGTATTCACATTTCAGGTTAAAATTAAACAACTCTCATAAAAAAGTTATCTACAATTAATCTTTCATAAAATCTCTTAACCACACCATTTCCAAACATCCTTGTTATGCTTATTAGTACCATCTTAATTAGATATAATATTCCAATACATATTCTTACCTTTCATTGCTACTATAGTTAGATGTACATTATGAATCTTATGCCTTTGGACCGGCGGAAAACATACACTGTACATAAGGATGCAATGGATTAGGTTTGCCTATACCCAAATTCATCCCTTCCCAAACATGATCCATACAACTATAACCGAATTCATCCATCAAACTTCAATGTTTCTCCATTTTATTCACACCCTCTGTTCATTACGGATGATTTGAATTTGATCCATTTATAATTGGATCCCCTATTTGATCTATTATAATTCAATTTAATAATAAATGCTTGTATGCATGCAAACATGTGTCTGTGTCTATGTACGCTTATATGTATATAGCTGAGCTGGGCTTGGGTTGGGATAAGGTTGGGCCAAGTTCAAGTTTGGCTCAAACAACCTAAGGGTTAGGCCTAAGCTTAAACCAAAATAAAAAGCATGAATTTTTGGGGCCAAGCGTATCCTAAGGACCTAAAATCCAAAATCAGCCCATGTAAAGTTGCATGTTGGATTTGCTTAAACCTGGGATGGGTCCCATCCAAGTTAATTACACCCTTGGGTTTGATTTTTTATTAAATGGCCAAATTTATTTAGAACACAAAGGCTTAATTGTCCCACTATTGACTATTTATCCTAGATTTTTTAGGAAATCGAACTAGACCGACCAGTCGAACTAGTTGAACCAGGACCTGGCCAGTTTGGTCACTCTCTGATAACTATATTTGCTAAAAATCAGTCAAAATCGGCTGACTGGCTGATTTAACAAGAAAATTGGCGAATCTGTCCCGGTTTTGTGAAACCACTAATTTATTAAATAACTGAAATTTTAAAGCATGTTTGACAAGATTTGAATGCATGACATCTTATTTTCATATATTGCTTCATTATGACCAGTCCACCTCATGTTAATTAATAACATTTTATTGTATATATTATTTTAGTACACATGTATTTTAAAGAAAATATAAATTAAGAGACTTGAGCCCTGGTTATTTGCTTTAAAAATCAAGAAACTTGCAATCCATCCATCATATATATCAAAAAGTCCGATTCACTACAAGAAATATTGGCTAAGCCGGCGGTGTTAAACTAGCCGTTATAACACATGATTCTAAATACAAAAAGTGCTAATATTTTTATTTAATTTTTCGCTTGATGTTTTATATATTTTTCTTCTATAAAACAATGGTTTGCTTGGTTTTTCCTTGTTAATTACAAGGAGGGAGGGAAGTTAGACCAAGGCCAACGGGTTAGGCAGGGGGGTAGGCTGGGTAGAGTGTAGGGGTGATCATAGGCGAAGCTGGCCTTTGCACTTATGATAAGAGCTCTAGTTTAGACCGAGCCCCAGGCCAGCTTGAGTTCTAGGTTTGATTTTAGGCTTATATCCATTATATATATAATATTTTATAATAAATGATATAATTTAAAATATTATATATAATATATATTGTAAGTATCAAATTATAATATGTATACATAAAATATATAATATATCATAAAATAACATATCATATATATACATATTATACATTATATATAAAATACATACATTTAAATATATGTGAGTGGAAATCGGCTTGAAGTACTACGCCTATGCCTCGTCCCTAAAATTTGTGGTATGCAAACTTAGGCTACGACTGGGCCTGTACACAAAACGTAGGACCAAGCCTGAAAGTTTTGGATTGGGCGGAAATGATCATCCCTAGTAGAGTGTCAAGGCAGGTGGGTACTGGGTAGCAGCAAGAAAGGGGCAGGTGCACATTCTGCCAAGTGGGTGGATTAGGCAATGGATAGGGGTTCGTCATTCATGTGCTAGTGTCTGTGCACGCTAGGCAAGGCATGAAACCCCTACCTATTTCGGAAATGCCTTCCCCTCCATTCCCATTCATTCACCTTTAGGCTATCATGCAAAGGAGAAATAATGAAGAAAAAAGGCAACCATAAATGAAAAAAAATAAAAAATCCAAAAATTTTAAAGTTGTACACTTGAAACTAAAATATAAAACATTTTTCCTTTTGGTGTTCTAACTTCAAATGTATTGAAACCAATTTCAATTTGAACACTAACAATAAAAGGTTACAAGAGATTCAAGAATCAAAGGAGCACTTAATAGGTCCATTGTTTGATCATTGACAATATATATAGGGGACCAAAACCCATACTAATCTCCCCCCCCCCCCCCCCCCCCCCCTCTCTCAAATTTTCCTACCACAAAGGGTATATTAATGACTTTTTCAAATCATAAAGAGAGCCATGGTCCCCAAGTCCCCCATCCCCCTAGCTCTGCCTCTATCTCTCTCCCCCCAGGTTTCTGGGTGAAGCTAAGAGTGATCATCTTTAGACCAAGACCTTAATGGTAAACCTATTCACAAGCCAAATCAAAGCTGAGCCCAACCCTTATATAAAGCCTCAAGCCCAATTTAAATAGGAATAAGCAAATTTATTGTTTATTATTAATATATATTTTTATTATATATTATTATTTTTTTTTTATTTTATATAAGGATTTTTTGCTCAGACAACCTTTGAACTTTGCCAAAAAATCACTTTAGATCCTATATAATTAAAAGGGCCATTTTTTTCCCTCAAACTATGATGGAAAAGACCACTTCAAGGCAAAAACAAATGATGTTAAAGACATCCTTGACAAATTTGTTAGATAATGAATAAAATAATAAAAGCATGTTGATGTGTCACTACTCAAGTTTAAAAGGACCACTTTAATAAAGTTAATTAAGAAAATTACTTCATGGTCTATAATGGTATAAAGTTATTAAACAAATTACACTAATTAAGATAATTAAGTAAATTAAGCCAACCATGTAAAGTAAGCAATTGGATAAGTAAATTAAATTAATTAAGGAAACTAAATTAATTAAGTAAATTAGATAAATAAAGCTAATCAATCTAAATAAGTAAATTAAGCCAATGAAACAAGGTTTTAAAACCTACCCAAAAAATGAACCTCTTTGGTCATTAGTTTTTGGGTCAATTGTTCGATCGTCTAGTTGAAACAAATTAGCCTATGTCATTTAAAAAATAAAAAAATAATTAAAAAATTCCTCTGAGCCATTCATCAGGAATTTAGCGGTTCAATTGTCCAGGTCATTGGTTTGCTAGCCAAGTCAACATCTTTTTTTTTTTTTGGAAATTTTCAAGCTAAATATAAAATGGAGTCAAATAGTTAACCAATTCTTGGGTCAAATAATAACCGCTTTGGTAAATGATGATTTTAAAACCATGTAATTAAGTTAACTAATTGATTAAGTAAATTGAGTAAATCAAGCTAAGTTCGTAGAGTAATTAAATAATAAAATCTAATTAAGGTGAATAATTAAATTAAGTTACTATTAATTAAGTAAATTACATAAATAAAGTAATTAAAGAAATTAAATAAATTAATGTAATTAAGCAAATTGAGTTACTAAGTTAATGAAGTTAACTAAGTTAATTAAGTAAATTAAGTGATTGTTAGTTTAATTACTATTAGTTAAGCTAATTAAGTTAGTGTTTAATAATAATTTACACTTAATTATTGTTAATCATATACTATTAAATTAATTATTGGTAATTTAATTATTCTAATTTGATAAAATCTTTAAAGTAATTTATTCAAAGCTAATAAAATTTATTTTTTTAACTAATAAATTTTTTAAATTCTAAAATGGTCATTTCAAACTTTATGGTGTAAAGTGGCCTTTTCAAATTTGAGCAATGTCACATAAACATTCTTTTATTATTTTATTCATTGTCTATTGGATCTATCTACAATGTCTTTAGCATTATATATATATATATATATATATATATATATATATATA